CCTCTGCTTTTGTAGTCACCATCTACAAAGAAACTTGAGTTTTGAAAGCTAATGAGCCATGTGATCAGACCCCCACAGAGGAGGAGTTTCCAGGACTGCCGTTCCTCCTGCTTCTTTGGTGGGGAAGTGTTCGTCCCTCAGCTCTGTAATGCCCCCCCTCTGGGTGTCCTTTCAGAACCACTGCACTTCCTCAGGTACAGTGACTAGGAAAGCAAGTCAGTCATCACAAGCAACAGAAGCTGTAGGTCAAACGTCCCTGACTAATCAAGCTGCCATTGGTCAATTACCCATCCCCACAAAGAGGTGCCACCGATCTAGCTTCCCATCAATAAATGTCTATCTGGGCACATCAGCGGCTGCTAACCACATCCAGCATGGTCCACAGGCACTGGTGATTAAGAAATCCCTCTCCCTTTCTTCTTAATAATGTCACAGAAGAGGCAAATGTAGATCCTGACAGCATAATGTTGGTTTCACAGAGACGTGTCTCCTTGAGCACTCGGCCAGTTATACAGAGTTTCAATTGCATGGATTTTCTCACTGCAAAAACAACAGCTCGGCCTAAGGAAGCTGGTGGCTTCCCATTGCGCCGAGATACACAAATCTGCCTTCGGTTCTGCACAGGCTCATGGTCCCCACTCTGAGTAAGGAAAAGAAAAATCGTTTGGGAGAACCATTTTCATTCTACATCTAAAAGAAACCAAATGTGCATTGTTCTCTCTTGCCATTAGCCCCAGTGACACATTTTTCCAGAGTCAGATTCAGTATCTCTGATCCTTTGGTAGACCTAGGGGCTAAGGTGCCCTTGCCATACAAACAGCCTCTGAACTGTGATCTGGGCGGTGACCTCATGAGGTCCCTGCTGGATCTAAAATTCCAGGCATGCTGTACTCGCTATACTCACCTCCATCTTGGCAGATTACCTCGCCTGCACACTCAGCCCACCAAGGGATGCTTATTCTGGGTTGCCACGGGTTTTATCTCTCAGGTGAGGCTGGGAGGAGGTAGCAAGTGAAAACTGGAACACAAATATGACAAATGCTCCAACAGGAATTACATATAGAATATATGGGATCATTAAGAGGGATGTCTGAGTGAGCCCAGGAGATGATGGGAGGTTAGGGAAGCTTCTGAAGGAGTAGAGTCTTGAACGGGGACTGAGAGCCAGGTAAAAGGGGTGATGAGAAGGAAATGAGAGATACAAATGATGAGGACTGCATGTTCAAAGAGTGGGAGGCATGGAGGTAAGAGGGGGCGACATGTACAAAACTGCAAGTCTCTGGACATCTGAGACAGGATACATGCAGGGGTGGGGGGAGAAGCAGGAGACGAACCTATGTAGGCAGAAGCAAGTCAGACTGTCCTTAAATGCCTTAGTCTGAACTTTCTTCTGAAGGCAAATAGTAGCCACAAATCGCCTTAGGATGACTGCATCAGATTTGTGGTAACAGTGTGAGAGGTGTTTGCAGGTGGGTTGGGAAGGGCTGCAGGGAAGTCTGGAAGACCAGGTAGAGAAGAGAAACTACAAAGGTGCAACAATGGTCATGGCAGTGGGATGGAGAAGAGGGCAAGGGTTTGTGAGGTGTGTAGGAGATGGGTACTGACAGAACTGTAGGGCCAACTGGTTGTGGGGGTGGGGAGAGGTGAGAAAGATGAAGGAATTTAGGAAGTTCCTATGATTTCATTCAGTTGATGGACAGTTGCTGTGAGGTGCCACTGAATGAGATAGGAAAATCATGGCATAAGGCCATGTGAACAGGGCAGGGGGATAATGGAATTCCATTTCTGACCTATTGGAGATGCACATGTGAACATTGTAGGGGGGATGAAGTAAGCAGATAGGATACAGGAGACATTAAAAAACAGAGGGAAAAGATACTAAGCTGCCAGTTTGCTTCCATCTTCATTGACAAGAAGACTGGTCTTAAATTAGAAGTGGCAGAACAAACATAGTAAAGAGAAAATTGAAGCCCCAACTAGGTGAAGTGAAAGAGAGAGAGTATCTAGTCAATTTAAATGATTTCAAGTCTCCTGGCTCAGATGAGTTATACACCAAACCTGCTGAAAGCAACTTCAGATGTAATCTCAGAGACATGACTGGTAATCTTCAAGAAATTGTGGCAACTGTCAAGAGTGCCAGTGACAGGAGAAGGACAACTGTTTCCCAGATTTTTAAAGTTATGAGGGATGGATTGTAATGGGAAATACTCAGATAAGCATGACAACATTTATGACAAAAATTCTAGAATGGCTTTAAGTAAACAGATGGCTTATGATGACTTTAGTTAATACATGCAGCTGAGAAAAAGGAAAGAGGGGTGTTGTTTGCTTCTGATGGAAGTTAATTTGTACTAGTAGTTTGTCAAAACAGACTGTGGCTTGTGTCTTCCCCCTTCCTAAGAACAGAGTGAATTTTCTATTCTGTATTATGACCTTAAAGCCTCTCTATCTTTGATTTGTTGCCTATGATACTCAACCTGTATGTGGCCCTTTATGAAAAGGGGTAGACAACCTAAAGTGGAGAAATCCACAGTCTGGATGCTCCAAGAGACCCAGCACCACCCATCAGGTGCCCCCAGGCACTGGCAAGCACCATTAACCTCTATGGTCATCAGCCTACACATCAATAAACCTTTGCCTGTTAGAATCCTACTGCCTTACATTTTTTTCCCTTTATGCATAGTGATTTTAAAATGAGAACAGGAAAAAACAAAGCCTGTTGCAGAACATTATAGGGGAAAGACAACCATGCCCCACCAACATCTGTACTCCTGGCAGGCTAAGATATAATGTAAAATATCTTATACAATATTAAATATAAATGCATTATATATGTATTTTATTATTAAATATACTTATATGTAATAAACATATTACACATATGAAAAAATAATACACATATGAAAAAATAAAATAGTTTTTCAGAAACCCTCTTTGAGTCTTTTAAAAAAGGGGGAGCCTAATAATATGTGGCCAATTAATATATGATAAAAGAGCCATGGATATTCAATGGGTAAAAGACAGCCTCTTCAACAAATGGTGTTGGCAAAACTGGACTGCTACATGTAAGAGAATGAAACTGGATTATTGTCTAACTCCATAAGCAAAAGTAAACTCAAAGTGGATCAAAGACCTGAATGTAAGAAATGAAGCCATAAAAATCACAGAAGAAAATGCAGGCAAAAATCTCTTGAATATAAACATGAGCAATTTTTTCCTGAACACATCTCCATGGGCAAGGGAAAGAAAATGAAAAATGAATGAGTGGGACTATATCAAACTAAAAAGCTTCTGTACAGCAAAGGACACTGTCAGCAGAACAAAAAAGTATCCTACAATATGGGAGAATACATTTGTAAATGAATTATCTGATAAAGGGTTAACATCCAAAATATATAAGAGCTCACATGCCTCAACACCCAAAAAACAAATACCCAATTAAAAAATGGGCACAGGATCTGAACAGACATTTCTCCAAAGAAGAAATTCAAATGGCCAATAGGCACATGAAAAGATGCTCCACATCACTAATCAACAGGGAAATGCAAATTAAAACCACAATGAGATATCATCTCACAACAGTTAGGATGGCCAATGTCCAACAGACAAGGAACAACAAATGCTGGCAATGATGGGGAGAAAGGGGGACCCTTCTACACTTTTGGTGGGAATGTAAATTAGTTCAACCATTGTGGGAAGCAGTATGGAGGCTCTTCAGAAAACTAAAAATAGAAATACCATTTGACCCAGTAATTCCACTCATAGAAATTTACCCAAAGAAAACAAGATCCCTGATTCAAAAAGACAAAGGCACCCCTACATTTATCGCAGCACTATTTACAATAGCCAAGATATGGAAGCAATCTAAGTGTCCATCAGTAGATGCATGGATAAAGAAGAAGTGGTATATATATATATACAATGGAATTTTATTCAACCAAAAAAATAAAACAAATCCTCCCATTTGCCACAACATGGATGGAGCTAGAGGGTATTATGTTCAGTGAAATAAACCAGGTAGAGAAAGATAAGTACCAAATGATTTCACTCATTTGTGGAGTATAACAACAAAGCAAAACTGAAGGAACAATTCAGCAGCTGACTCACAGACTCTAAGGTAAAGGACTAGTGCTTACCAAAGGGAAGTTGTTGGGGAGGGTGAGTGGTGAGGGGGGGGAGGGAGAAGAGGATTAAAGGGCATTATGATTAACGCACATAATGTAGTGGGGAGTCACAGGGAAGGCAGGATAGCACAGAGAAGACAACTAGTGACTCTATACCATCTTACTATGCTGATGGACAGTGACTGCAATGGGGGGGAAGGGGGAGGACTTCATAATATGGGTGAATGTTGAAACCACAATGTTGCTTATGTGAAACCTTCATAAGATTGTATATAGATGACACTTTAATAAAAGAAAAAAAAAGGGCAGCTTATTCAAGACCCAGATGGCTCTTGAACCAAAAGTATATCCTCTAAGGAAAGTCACCAGTCTCACACTTTAAAGTAACATGATCCTATAAATTAAGCAATATTGGGTTAAAGTTACTTCCTTAAAACAAAGCGAAAGAAAAACAACTACAAACTTAGACCCAAAGATCATTAAGAAGATCTTCTAGATCCAGGACTCATATTCAGATCTGTTTGGTTCATTTATTAAAGTTAAAAATTAGTTATGATTCTCTATAACCTGTCTTATCATCATCCTGTAAGTCCTTAACCAGTACAAACTGAAACTTGAGAAGGAGGTGAACCACACCAGGGAGAGGCCTGTAATTTAGTCCCTCCACAAGTCTAATTTTGGAGCATCTGTCTACCAGAAAATCCAAACAAGCACCCTGTATCTCTTTGTCGACACTCTTTCCACCCTGGTCTTTGATATTTAGAGCAAAGAACAGAAAAGCATCTTTGCTGAAGTTACTGGGATCATCACTGTATCAATATATAAGTTGTGCATGTCTTCCATTTTGAAAGTAATGAATGAAAAGGATCTTCTTACCGTATTGACCCAATCATGTATGGCTGCGCCAGTTGAACCACAATCGCACCACTTCCCAGCTGATGACAGGTATAGCCAGAATCCCAGTCATAATTCTTGGTGTCCCCATTCAGCAAGGCATTTCGGCTCCGACTGACTCCTTCAATCACACTGGCACAATCAGCAATTGTTGCAACATTCTCCATGGGAACTGTGAATCCCACACAAGATTCAGCATCAAGAAAAGAGAAGCCAAATATATCCTGATAGTATGGTATGAACAAAATTAATTACAATTCAAATCAACAATAATAGGAAAATTAGAACACCTCTTGATTATCTCGAGGTATGAACACATTTTCCATACCAAATAGCTTTAGAAAACAAAAAAGTTGAACCTAACGTTGGAACAAACCAAACCACATGTAGCAATTAACATTGAAGTATTTTACTATAAAGAAACAAGATACCCTATAAAATATGGACTAGATAAATAAATTGCAAAATATTACTATAATGGGAAACTACACAGTAATTGAAATTAATAAACTATAGTATGTGCAAATAAATCATTAAAAACCTAAAAAAGGCAAGGTACAGAAAAAAACAGTATGATTTGTTTACACAAAGTTTTTTAAAAGGCAAAATTAAAAATATACTTTAAGAAAACATACATAAATATAAAAACCAAGGAGGAAATCCAGGGAATTATTATACAAAATTCAGGATAATTTGGGAAGGGGGGAGATGAATTCTTTTAGGGAATACATTTAATACATTTAATAAATATAATTAATTTGTTTAAAGAAACATGATATCTATCTATATCTATCTATCTATCTATCTATCTATCTATCTATCTATCTATGTATCTATCTATCTATATCTATATATATAGATATAGATTCAGCATTTTAGAATTCATGAAACAGGGAAGTGTTTCGTGAAAGTGATCCAGGACTTGGTAACAATCCCATTTCAGAATAGAGTTGTCCTCAGACATGATTTGTTTCCCTTTACTGTTTGTTTTCTCTTCTGTGCAGTTCAATACATATGCTCTTCTCTTTGTTCATGAAGTGCTGTATTTTAAAACACCAGCTCTGTTTTGATTCTGAGTCTCTCTCTTACTGAAAATCCACATCAACCTGTTCGTTTATGAAAGTCAAGGGCTTCCACAAAATGACAGCTGCCCAGAATGATGTAGATCCTCTAAACACCGAGAGGGGAATGATAAAAGGTGAGTGCCTTTTAAGTCCTCTGGGACCTTTTCTGTGCATTTACTAGCACTGAGATTTTCTCCAGACATTTATGTTATTCAACCCACATCGGTAATTACCCTTAGCTACTTACACTCAAGATTTGCAGCTTACTTGATATAATTTTAAATAGGTTGCAAAAAAAGACATTTTCTCATTAGACATATACTGTACTTTTCAGTATAAGACTCTTTGAAGAGACAGAGACTGAGCAGTTCCACCACCATGCTGAAACATTTCTAATTTTAGAATGATGTGGACTAAATATTCTACACAGTGTATCTTCTACACAGTGTATTTATTTTCTAAAGTTGGGCATGCCTGGGCTTGAGCCTTCATTTCATAGCCCTTTACTAACTGCTTTGTTCTCTGCAGATAGACAGCCATCCACAGATAAAGAAGGGAGCAAAGGAAAGAGGAAGGGGGAGAGGATGGATTTTTCTGGTGATGAACCCCATGATTATGAAGCTGAATACCAAAGAAACAAGCAAAAACAGTGGTGAAATAACAGTAAAGACAGTTTCTTGGCAGAGAAGGGGCTTAGAGAGAAGCTCCCCATAACTCTGAACAGGGACAGAAATGAAGGACTATATTTAGGGGCTTAGTCACAGTATCTCTGTCTCACGGAAAACGGGAACTACTCTGTGATTTGGAAGAGAGAACTTAAAGAAGCAGCACAAGATGCACAGTAAACTGAACTGAGAATAAAATAATACTGTAGGTCGCTTAGGCAGTAGTAACAGACAGCCCCCACTCCCCCAGCAGCTTCACACAGCACACATTTATTTCTCATTCATCCTAAGTGTTCAGCATGGTCAGCAGAGTGGCTCCCTCGCTGCATCACTCTGGGACCTAAGTGACAGAGGCTCTGTACTGGCATGTGTCTCCTCAGTCACAGCAGCCGTGCGAGGAGAGCGAGCTGGGTGCTGGCTCTTAAAACTCTTCCCCAAAATAACACACATCACTTTGCTCACATCTGGCTAAGGAAGGTCACAGGGCCCCACCTAACTTCACAGAGGGTGGGAAAGTGCACCCCTGCTGTGAGCCCAGGAGGAGAAAAGGGATGTGTGGTGAACAATATTAACATTTACCACAAACATTAAGCCAGGATGAGGAACAGCCAATAGACAGATAAATGTAGTTCATTTGTGTAAGGAATATAAAATATTTCAAAGTATAAATATACCAAAATTTATATATCTACTCTCCTGCTAAGAGACACTGAGACTGGTACCACTGCTCTCTTTGTGATTGCAAAGGTGTCTTCTTGTGTACATGGGTAAAAATTTCTTTAAAGAGTAAGATTTTGATTTATTTATATGGAAGTGGAATTATACTCATGGCTATGAGTTACCTTCAACTTGCCTGGATATTGCCAAATTATTCACCAAAGCGGCTGTATAAGTTGATACTCTCAACTCATTGCTCTACATCCTCAGTAATGTCTCAATGTGATTTTAATTCTTCAATCTGTTGTTAGATGAAGTTGACCTTTTTTTTTTCTCATCTTTTTCCTCTGGAATCTTTCTCCACCTTTCTTCTTAAACTGCCTATCATTTGTTTAAATATATATTTTCCTGTTGTCTTTGTAACTGATTTGCAGGATGCCAATCCTTTGTTGGTTAATGTATTGCGCTTAAATATTTAATCTTTTCATTTATGATTTGTACTTTTCCTATTTATAAATTCTTTCCTACCCTGGATTCATAAAGATATTTTTCTATATTTTCTCTCAAAGCTCTCAAATTTTGTTTTCCACCTTTGGTTTTTAGTTAGGATTTACTTTTGGTATGCTGTGAAACAGGGACCTACTTTGATCTGTTATTTGTAATGTTAGCCAATATCCCCGGCACCGTTTAATGAACATCTACCCTTCCACCCACTGATTTGTTATTTTAGTCACCCATAAAGCTTTCACATATATTTGTATCTCTTTTTAAGATCCTCACTGTTTCCCTGATTTGACTAGTCTGTACCTTCACCATGCTGTCTTAATTACTATAATTTTAAATTAAACTTAAAAATCTGATGAAGTGAGCACCTCCCCTCCCTCTCCTCCTCTTCCTTTTTCTTCAAAATTACTTTAGATATTCTTGGTCCTTTCAGGAAAGTTTTTTACTTTAAGTTTTCAAATATACTGGCATAAAATTTTTCACAGCATGTGTTCTTTTTCATTCCAAATATTTCAATTTGTACCTTTTCTTTCTTTTTTGTTCAGTCCTATATAAGTTTGTCTGCTTGATTAGTGTATTCAAAGAGCCAACTTTTGTTTTTGTTGATTCTTTCCTTTATTTCCTACTTCACTAAGTTCTGTCCTTCTTTCATTATTTCTACCTTCAACTCCTTTGGAATTACTCTGTTTTTTTTTTTTTTCCTAATTATTGGAAGAGAATATTTAGCATGTTAATCATTCTTTACCAAAGAATGCATTTAAAGCTGACATTTTACCTCTAAGTTCTGCTTCAACTCTACCCTTAAGTTTTAATACACAGTGTTTTGGAGGTCACTGCTCAGATGTTGTGTAGGCTGTCTCTCAAGTTGGGTTTAACTGACACCCAGTGTTTTAAAAGTTGATTGCTTCTAAATATTTTCTGTTTTCCATTATGACTTTTTTCTTTACTCATAAATTACTCAAAAGTATGTTTTTAACTTTCCAAATATAACTTTTCAAGTTATCTTTTTGTTACTGATTTTTAATTACAATGTAATGTGGATAAAAGAAGTGTTATCTGTACGATATTGACTTTGCAGAATTTGTTGAGATTTGCTTTGTGGCCTGGTTAATTCTTATTAATATTTTATGTATGCCTGAAAGATTTTGAGTTACCTAATTTGGGAGGTGTATGGTTCTATACATATCTTATAATCAAACTCATTAATTATGTTGTTTAAATCACTTGTATGCTTACTAATTACTGGAAGAGGTTTGTTAAAATCTCCCACTATAGCTGTCGATTTCTCAATTCTTCTTATAATTCTGTCGATTTTTGCTTTATATATTTCAAGACCACATCATTTCGTGTACATCATTTTAGAATTACATCCTCCCGGTGGACTGAACCTTCCATCATTATGCAGTGCTGTTCTTTATCCTTAATAATGCCTTTACCATAAAGTCTACATTGTCTGATGTCAAAAAACTACTGCACCTTTATTTTGGCTACTATTTCCTTAGTATCACTCTACTTTCTATTTTTCAGTCTTTTGTTAAGTAATACATAGATTTTTTTAAAAAATTCAGTGTCCTTTGTCTTATAATGCACAGATTTACATGACTTACATTAGTTGTTATTACTAGTATATTTGGATTCACTTTTACTTTGTATTTACAAGTTTTTTCTTTGCTGCTTCCCCACTTGTCTGTCCACTCTGTTCCTATTTTCTAATGGACTGATAGTCTCCTTTACTTTCCCCACCAGCTATCTTTCTTTCTTATCTTTATCTCTTTGACTTGCTTTCTAAGTTATATATTCCCATTCTTTTACTGAATTTTAGATATGCATATCAAACTTAACAATATCTAAAATTAAAGTCACATATTTCTTTCTCTACAACAATATGAAAGACCTTAATACTTTTAATACAAATCACTTGCTTAATACTTTTAATACAAATACAAAAAGATAACAATGTTATCATCTAACATTTTAGTTCCACCTAGTTTCATATTCTCTAATCAATTATTGTTCTTATTATTTCATACACTTATTTATCCACATTCACTAATTTATTCATCCTTACTGTTCTTTTTATATCCTTTCTTTTTGATACAACTTCCTTCTTTCTAAGACACATCTATTAGTATCCAGCAAAGTCTTTGTTTGAAAGTGTATTTTGCTACTACTCTTGAAAAATAGAATGCCAAGTTAAATGCTGTTTTTCCTCACCATTTTGAATATATTATTCCATAGTCCTCTGGCTTCCACTGTTATGTCTGCTAAAATCTGCTGTCACT